GTCGTCTTCCGAGTGGAAAACAGTATTTTGTTACCATGGCAACCGAACTTCTGAAGAAACGGATGTCAAATAACATTCAGATCGCGGTGCTCATGGCAACCGCCATTCTGCACATTTTGGGGAGAGGCTCTGTCTTGCCTCCTTCCTGTCTGCAAGTTGGTGGGGGATGAGGCTCATGGCTCCTGGTTTCCTTCTAGAATGGAGGAGACCCTAAGACCTTGAGCTTTTTGGCAATGCCCCTCCCCCACTGTGAGTGCAGGCTCTGCCACCAGGTCACAGAGCGTGGCAGGAGGGTTTTCTCTGGCCCTCTTCTCTCTGATGCTGCCCAGCTCCGTGGAGACACGTGGGCACAGAGCCACACACATGCACCCCAGGGCGCGGGGGGTCCGAGGAGCAGCCGTGGCCGTGCACCCATTCTGCCGTTTGTTTGCTCATCCGAGTGTTCAGTTGTGCGTTCCCTCGATGAACGTCCACTGTGGCCTCCTCTGTGGCCAGCGCTGTGCTGGGCCTGAGAGCCAGCAGGACAGGATTCAGCCGAGACTCTCCCTCTGCACCCCGAGATTGCAGAGAACATAAATAAACACCTAAATCACAGGGCAGCTTGGAAGAAAGGGGCGGGCGGAACGTGGGAAGGGAGTGAGGGGCTGGCAGCGGTGTGGCGATGGGTGGGGGTGGGGTGGAAACCAGAGAATCCAGCCTCGCTTTGGGTTCCTTTAGAGGAAACTTGGCCAAACTACATCCATTCCAGGAAGCTTCGGGAAAAGAAGGTCTCTAACGTGTTTCCTGGAGTCTGGGAGGAGGCACCTGCGCCCTGCTGTGATGCCTCTGGGTCAGGACTATGTCGCATGATCAATGTGTTTGTTTAACACAGCATTTCTCCCCTAGTCCCAATTACCTCGATTTAAGGATGTCTTAGACTCAAGGATATGTGGGTTTTCCCCTTTTAAAATCCTGAGTGTTTGTTAATGCTGTGATAATGAGCGTGGCCTTGGCTCCTGCTCCTGTTTCCTCCCTGAAGAAGCAGGCAGGGTCTGGTCCCAGGTCGGAGGATGTCCCAGTGCCCCCTGCACTCGGTGCTACTTTAGAGGATAAGGGCACAAATTCTGGGGCCAGCGCTCTGGTGCAGCGGGTTAAGCTGCCCTCTGCGACACTGGCATCCCATGGAAGCGCCGGCTTGAATCCCTGCTGCTCTGCTTCCCATCCAGCTCCCTGCCGATGCACCTGGGAAATCCAAGTGCTTGAGCCCCTGCCACCCACTTGGGAGAAGCCAGGAGCCAGGAACTCCATGGAGCCTCCCACGTGGGTGTCAAAGGCCCAAACTTGAGCCATCACCCGCCGCCTCTCAGGGTGTGCACGAGCAGGAAGATGGAATTGGAGCAGAACTGGAGCTGGTTGTCCCAAGAAACATCTTTTTTTTTCTTTTTATTTGACAGGTAGAGTCATAGACAGTGGGAGAGAGAGAGAGAAAGGTCTTCCTTCCGTTGGTTCACTCCCCAAATGGCCTCTGAAGCCAGGAGCCAGGAGCTTCTTCCTGGTTTTCCATGTGGGTGCAGGGTCCAAGCACTTGGGCCATCCTCCACTGCTCTCCCGGGCCACAGCAGAGAGCTGGACTGGAAGAGGAGTGACTGGGACTAGAACCTGGAGCCCATATGGGATGCCGCTGCAGGCGGAGGATTAACCAAGTGAGCCATGGCACCGGCCCCCCCAAGAAACATCGTAACGGCTGCGACAGTCCTTACCCCCCAGACCCCTCTCCTGGGGAGTGGGGGGGACTTGGTGACTTTTTCAGAGCAGTTTCCTTCTCATCTGCTTCCAGGACAGAATCCACACCCTGCAGTTCCTGGCACTTGGCAGGCCCCAGGTGCACATGTGTTCAAATGATGAATGACTGTGCCAGTGTGATCTGGCTCCAGGGTACCATCCCAGCCTCTCCCCCTGCCGCCCTTGGGGAAAGACTTTTCTCCTCTAACTCTGTCCTTGCTTTTTTTATTTTTATTTTTATTTTTATTTTGTTTTTTTAAGAAATCTCAGGTTTTCCACCTGTGCCATTTTAAAGGCGTCTGTTGCACACACAATTTTGGCTGCAGTTCTCTGTGTCTTTAAGTTCAAGAATGAAGGGGGTGTTTGCCTGGGATAATGAAGCAAAACACAACTCTCAAGTAGGAACCTTGCCAGGTTTGGACAGAATCTTCTGCTGGCTTGGACTTGGACTTGGAAGGGTCACACTGGTGCGTTGTCAAGGTTAATATTCTGATGAGTGCAGCCAGGACTGGAGGTGCATTTGGAGGAGAAATGGACAGCGGAGGTGCCTGGGATGGCGGTGAAGGCCAGACACAGGGCACCAGAAAGAGCTCCTTGTACCGTCACCCCCTGCGGTGTGACCCAAGACTCAAGCTGCAGTAAAGGCGTCCGGGTTGCCATGCCTTCAAGTCTTCCTGTCACTCCTGCCGCTGCCTCTGAAGAAGAGAAAGCAAACCAAGATTCGCCCCAAAGAAATGCATCACTTTGAACATGACAGCGGCCAGTGCCCTCGTACCCCCGAGCCCTGACCAAAGCAAGCTCATTTCTCTCAGCAGCAAAATTAAGCTGTCAGGCCGGATTCGTGTTTTTAAGGAATATGCTTCTATGGAACACACAGGGCTGGGATGTTTCTGAGTTAAAATGGTAAGAACCTTCTCAGCCCCGCAGACCCACCTGCTTCCAAGTCCCGGCTTTCAGCCCCCAGACCACAGCGGTCCCCACCTGTCCCAGACTGGGCCACCACTTCATCCCACCTCCTGGCACAGCGATTGGTCCAGGCTAGTGTGCGACACTTAAGACAGCCAATGGGAGGCCTTTCTCTCAGGACTGCCCCCGCCCAGTTCTGCATAACCTGGTGCAGTTTGCAGCTCTGGACTTGCATGGACAGGGACACTAATGGGGTGGCCGGGACGGACGCCAACAGGCAGAGGAGAGAGGGGAGAGGGCGAGAAGAGCACAAATGGCTCCTGGCGCGTTGGCCCCTGGCCCCAGGGGGCTGGAGGCTGCTTCCTTGCCGCCCCGAGCCTTGCATCATTGGACTCGGGAGCCTGCAGTCTTTGCCTTTTTGACTTAGGCTGGGCTGGGGGAGGGGCAGGGCAAGGCTGGGATCAGAGAGATCAAGAGCCATCATTTGAGTGACTTGGCCCCTGACTCAACCCCAAAGGCTTATGGAACTAGGAGGGAGGAGCCGAAGCCAGAACCTGGTCATGGTGGCAAGGGTAGGGGGAGTGACAAGACTGGATTAGGTCGTTGGGCTGCAGCCCCCATGACTGCCTCCTGGTAGCTTCATAAGGACAGAGGCCAGCATGTGTGTCCCCCGCCTCTTGCCATGTGGTGTCCCATGTCACCGTGGGACTCAAACCAGCACTCCTGGATGGGATGCAGATGACCCAAGCAAGCAGCGGCTTAACCCACTGGGCCACAGCAGTTCCCGGCTAATGCAAGTGCTGCGTGTATTGTTTACATTGCAAGCTAAAAGCATTCTGTTCAGGGAGCCGGCATTGTGGAGTAGCAGCATCCCACTGTGGCGCCAGCACCCCACATGGGCACAGGTTCCAGTCCCGGCTGCTCCACTTCCGACCCAGCTCCCTGCCGATGCACCTGGCAAAGCAGTGGAAGATGGCCCAAGTGTTTGGCTCCTGCCTCACATGTGGGAGATCCAGAAGAAGCTCTTGGCTCCTGGTCTGGCCCAGCTTTGGCTGTTATGGCCATCTGGAGAGTGAATCAGCAGATGGAAGATTGTGTGTGTGTGGATGTGGGTGTGGGTGGGTGGGAGTGTGTCTCCCTCTCTCTATGTAACTCTAACTTTCAAATAAATAAGCAGATCTTAAAAAAAAAATCCTGTCCATCGATCCACTTGGCTGAATACACGTAAACACGAGTGAGCATTTATTTCCTGGGGCTCACGGTCCGTGGGCTTCCAGATTCATCAGGGAGCACGGCTCGTCGAGGTTCCAGCTCAGGCCGGCGTCACCTGGAACTTTCTCAGCGCTCTCGCACGCTGACTTGTCTTCGCTCGGCAGAATGGACGCTGGGAATTCATGCCTCCCTATTAGGTCGCAGCACCGAGAACAGGGATTGTCCACAGAAGACAATAAATACGCGGCGAGTTGAACTGCACGACACCCGACCGCCCTCACCCCCTATCTGTCTGATGGTGGGGGCTCAGTCATTCCTGGCTGGTCAGTGGTTTTCCTCTCCTGGCTTCGGTGATTAGCTGGGGGTGGAGGTGCGACCCCAAACTGTCCATGACCCTCACAAGCGGGACTTCTGTTGGAACTTTTGGGGAGGAGAAGACCTGTTCCATTGGGGTTGCAAAGCCACGAAGACAAGGGTCTGGGGTCCTGGCAGTGACTGGGAGCGACTGCCTAGCAATGGAACCAATGGAGCAGAAAGCTGGGGGCTGATGTCAGTATTTGGATCCCTGGACCTGTCCAGCCCAGGTCTTCTCGGTTAGTTCAGTGAACACATTCTGTTTTCTTTCTCCCCTTGGCGAGTCAGAATTGGGCTTCAGAGCTTGTGACGAAAGAGCTCTTGGGAGTTTCTGAGCTGCCTGTCTGTTGGGGTGTTCTTGGTGATGGTCCTCGCCATGGCAACTCGCCGGGATTACACAGGCCGACCTGTTACTCCACGGGAAGTCGGCCATAGAGCCGCTGCAGGCACGGCTGGATCACAGCTCCCGCTCCACTTCTCCGTGATCTCTTAGCTTTGCCCTCCCCCGCATACTGGTTGGTCTTGGTGGCCACGGGCGCCACGCATTCAGCCCCGTCAGCCAGAGGCAGGAGGCGGGCGCTGGCTCTCGGAGCCTGTGAATGAAGAAGTTTCCCCAAAGCCTCTACGCGGACTTCTACCATCTCATTGGGCAGAAATGAGTCACGTGTCCACGCCTAAGCCAATCCTCGTGGGGTAGGACCCCCGTGATTGGCTGGGGCTGAGGCCAAGGCCCACCTCCCTGTAGCCTGCTTCCGGTCCTCTCCTGGCTCTTCGATCGGTTTTCTCCGTAGGCTCCATCCCTCGCTGCCATCTTGATTAGAAGTTTTCATTTAATCTTGGGCTCTCACCAGCTGCCACCACGTCTCTGCTCCCCGCTGTCAGGGTTAGATGGGCTCGCGGTTGACGGAGGTCGGAGGATCTCACTGAGGGTGCAGGAGGACTCCACGCTCACTTCTTTCCCCAGCACAAAGGCTCGGTCAGAGCCGAGGCCAAGGAGATCCGAGATGGCCGACATCAGGTCCTTGAGAGGGAGGTGTGCAAGCAAAGGCTGGGTGCCCCTCAGAATCAGGGTAGAAGGACTGCACCTAGCGGGAGGGAGTCAGCACTGACTGGGTTTGTTCATTCATTCATTCATCCAACAAATACTGATATATTACATGCACTTAGAGTTATTTTATTTTACCTAGATTTATTTTGAAGGTAAAGAGAGACAAATCTCCCATCACTCCCCAGATGCTCACCCAACAGCTGGGACTGGGCCAGGCAGAAGGTAGGAGCCCTGAACCCAGTGCAGATCTCTTGTCGGGTGGCAAGGACCCTTGTGCCCAAGGCATCATGGCTGCCTCTTAGGGTGTGCATCGGCAGGAGGCTGGGATTGGAAGTGGAGGCAGGACTTGAACCCAGGCACTCCAGTATGGGATGCAGGCATCCCACACAGAGTCTTACTTCTGGGCAATAAATGCCTGGCCCGCCACAACTGTTTATTGAGCACATACTACATGCCAGATGCCAGCTAAACACTGAGACTCCGGCAGCGAAAAACACAGGTACAGCTTCCAGGCTTATTCAGCGTAGAGTTTAGCAGGGGAGATGGGTCTTAAATGAATTAAAATGTACAAATATTTATTGTATACATGAATATTACTGTATTAGAATAGTAGCATGACCCTCAAAGTTCCTTCTAATCAAAGATTTATGATTCTGTACATAAAACACAGCCATATCTGGCACGTAGTAAGAGTAGGATAAATGCTGCTGCTGCTGCTCTCCCCTCATCATAGACACCTCTGGTGATGTTCTCCATCTGTGAACTTTTTCTGTTTATCTATTTGAAAAGCAGAGTTACAGAGAGAAAATTAGAGAGGGGGAGAGAGAGAGGGGTCTTCCACCCACTGGTTCACTCCCCACATGGCTGCAGTAGTTGGGGCTGGTCCAGGCTGAAACCAGGAGGCTGGAACTGCATCCTAGTCTCCCACATGGATGTCAGGGGCCCAAGCACTGGCGCCATCTTCTGCTTCTTCTCCAGGCGCATTAGCAGGGAGCTGGATAGGAAGAGGAGCAGCCGGGACTCAAATCGGCGCTCCTACGGGATGCCGCCATCACCGACGGTGACTCAACACCAGCTCCTCCTGTGACTTTCTGTATTCTTGTCCCTCCGTGACTCACATGGCTTTATTTTATTGTTAAACTTTTAATTCTAATTTTAAAATAAATTCTACAACTTCAACCTACCAAACCTGTCAGTAGTGGTCCCATCCGTCAACCCATCTGGGCCTGAGCATCCCCGTGGAATGCAGGGACGTTACCCTCCTGTGGCTGAGAAAGCTGAGGCTTGTGCTGTTCAGAAGGTTTGCCCAGCCCAAAGAGGGGAATGGGTTTCTTTTAAAAATGTGAGAGAGAGAGAGAGAGCGAGAGAGAGCTCTTCCATCTGCTAGTCCACTCCCCAAATGGCTGTGTCAGCTAAGGCGGGGCCAGGCTAAAGCTGGGAGCCTGGAACTCCACCCGGCTCTCCCACGTGGGTGGCAGGGACCCAAGCACTTGAGGCACCGCCTGCTGCCACCCAGGATGCGCATTTGCAGGCAGCTGGATTGGAAGTGGAAACAACTGGGATCAGGTTTTCTGATAGGAGGTGTGTCCCAAGGATGTGTTTCTACTTCCATCATGGAGCCTCAGGCTGGCCATGGACTTGCAAGAGACCACATGGCTGGCAAACGGCAGAGCCTCCCAGCCTGGCCCGACTCACCTTTCCTAACACACGGCACAGGCGTGGTTCTCATTCACCAGCTGACTTGTTGCTAACCCCGGGGTCTGTACTCCAAGTGAAGCTGGAGGCACAGGTGAGGTGCCACCGACCCCTGGATAAAGCCCCTCGCGGTCAGCCCCGGTGCCCCCTCCAGGCTGCAGACCTCTGCCCTGCCTCTCTGCCTCCTTCCCTAGGCCCTGGCTCTTCCGTCCACTCTGCCTACTGCAGCCTGTGCTCCTGGCGCCTCCCAGTGGCTAGCAGTATCAGTGCATCAAAGACTAATCAGATTCCTGGGAAAATCCCTGGGATGGGAGAATACAGAGATTGAAGAACCCTTAGGCTCCGATTATTTTATAAATAATTTCCATTGTTTTCCCCAGAGGCGAACTGACCTGAGCCCAGAGAAGGACCTAGGAATCCTGGTATCCAGGCCGGTTTCCTAGATGGGCCATCTTTGAGTAGTGACATGTGTGACCAAGTGACTGAATAGGAGTGACACGTGTGATTCAGGGAAGGAAATGACCCAAAGCATCCCTGAGGTTTTAGGGCCAACAGCACGAGCTAAGTAGATTTCAGCGGGGTCTTGTGCTTGGGCATATAGCTCTGGGGAAAGGAAGACTGGCGTCGTGGGTAAAGTCACTGCCAACAGTACCTGCGTCCCACATGGGCACCGGTTTGAGTCCCGGCTGCTTCACTTCTGATCCAGTTCTCTGCTATGGCCTGGGAAAGCAAGAGAAGATGGCCCAAGTCCATAGACCCCTGCACTTGTGTAGGAGACCCGGAAGAAGCTCCTGGCTCCTGGTTTGAGATCAGCAAAGCTCTGGCTGTTGTGGCCATCTGGAGAGTGAACCAGCAGATGGAAGACCTCTCTATCTCTCTCTACCACTGCCTCTCTGTAACTCTGCCTTTCAAATAAATATTTAAAAAGAAAGAAAAAAGGAGTGGGTTACAACTTCCCTGCACGTCAATTTCCTCCTCTGTAAAATGGGGAGAAAAAGAGCATCCAGGTCCTTCGCAGGAGTGATATGGTGCACAAGGCACAGTGCCTGGCATCGCATAGGAAATTAACTCGGGAGAGTCTTTGTGACTCGGCTTGGGTGAAGATCTCTCAGAGGCAGCAGTGACAGCGCCGTCTGTCCAAGAAAACGATGGGCAAAGTGGACTTCATAGAAAGGAAGAACTGCTCCCAGGAAGACAAGCTGCGAGAAGGAGACGTCAAGTCACAGACCGGAAGAAAGCATCTGCAGGTCAGGAATTTGATGAGAGACCTGTGTGTCCCGCAGTCCTTCCGGACCTGTTGGGTTCAGGCATCCGAAGTCAAAGGCAGTCTAAAAATGTTCACAGTAGTCTCTAAGAGGGGGGGGGGTGGGAGAGAGAGAGAGAGAGAGAGAGAGAGAGAGAGAGAGAGGCCGCATTCACAGAACCCTGACTACAGACAATTGCTGTCATTGTTCTGTTTTACTCCTTGCTAATGCTGTTCATTTCTTACTGTGCCTGGTTTATAAACTAGGCTTCAACACAGATAGGCCTGTGGGAGGAGAGACATTGCATGTGAGCACAGGGGCCAGTTCCCTCCCCTGGGGGCTTGGAATGGGCTCCATCCCCCTGCCCCGATACGGGAGACGGAGCTACTGTAAAGAACTTCCTATAATCAGAAACCAAAACTCCCTGATTAAAAAGTGGGAAAAATATTTGTGCAACTGCTTCACCCATGGAGACCCGTGGGTGGCAGACAGCAGGGGGCAGAGTGCTCAGGGGCGGCTGGTGTGGCACAGCGGGTTAAGCCACCTATTGGGACACCCACCTCCCACATCAAGCTCCCGTCTGAGTTTCCATCCAGTTCCCTGCTGGTGTACCTGGGAAGCGGCAGATGAGGCTCGAGTACTTCAGGCCCTGCCAACTACAGTGGAGGCCTGGATGGCGTTCTGGGCTCTTGGTTTTGACCTGGTCCAAACCTGGCTGTAGTGGGCATTTGGGGAGAGAACCAGCAGATGGAAGACCTCTCTCTCTCTCTCTCTCTCTGCCTTTCAAATACCTAAATAAACCTTTTTTTTTCTAGCAGACAGAGTGGACAGTGATAGAGAGAGAGAGACAGAGAGAAAGGTCTTCCTTTTCTGTTGGTTCACCCCCCAGTGGCCCCTGTGGCTGGCATGTTGAGGCTGGCGCACCGCGCTGATCCGATGGCAGGAGCCAGATGCTTCTCCTGGTTTCCCATGGGGTGCAGGGCCCAAGCACTTGGACCATCCTCCACTGCACTCCCGGGCCACAGCAGAGAGGTGGCCTGGAAGAGGGGCAACCGGGACAGAATCCGGCACCCCAACCGGGACTAGAACCTGGGGTGCCAATGCCGCAGGCGGAGGATTAGCTTATGGAGCTGCGGTGCTGGCCCCCTAAATAAATCTTAAAAGGAAAATGCTCTGCATCGTTCATTATTAGATAAATAAAATGGAAACCGTGATGTCATTCATACCAGACACTGGTGGGACATTTGGAGCATCTGCAATTCCTGCACAGTGCTGGCGGGAAGGTGAAGTGGTGCCCCCATTATGGGGAACTGTCCAGCAGCGTCTCAGGACGTTAAGCGTCCACCTTCCATACGACCGTTATTCCAGTGCTCGACATTTACCCAAGAGAAAGGAAAGAATATGGCCACACACAGACTTGTATAAGGGGCAGGCCTGGTGCCACACTGGGTTAAGCTCCTGTTGGGATGCCCACATCCCATAGCGGAATGCCTGGGATTGAGTCCTGCCTCTGCTTCTGATCCAGCTTCCTGCTGATGTGCAAGCAAGTGATGGCCCAAGCGTCTGGGCCCCTGCCACCCATGTGGGAGACCTGAGTGGAGTTCCTGGGACCTGGCTTCAGCCTGGCCCAGCCTGGGCTAGCTAGGGAGTGAACCAGCAGGTAGGTGGAAGATCTTGCTCTCTGTCATTTTGCCCTTCAAATAAATAAAAATGAATAAATAAAGTTCAAAAATGGGATGTTTGACTTAAAAGACTTGTGTTTAAATGTTCCTAGCAGCTTTATTTATGCTATTTAAAAACATGACCATCAACAGATCAGTAGGGAAGTGTGCTGTGCTATGTTCACGCAATGAATGGGATACTATTCAGCAATAAGAAGGGACAGGAGGGAAGAATCGTTTTCTTTTTTTAAAGATTTATTCATTTATAAAAAAAGATTTATTCATTTATTTATTTGAAAGTCAGAGTTACATATAGAGAGAAGAGGCAGAGAGAGAGAGAGAAGTCTTCCATCCACTGGTTCACTCCCCAGTTGGCTGCAATGGCTGGAGCTGCGCTGATCTGAGGCCAGGAGCCAGGAGCTTCTTCCAGGTCTCCCATGTGGGTGCAAGAGCCCAAGGACTTGGGCCATCTTCCACTGCTTTCCCAGGCCATAGCAGAGAACTGGATCTGAAATGGAGCAGCTGGGACTTGAACCAGTGCCCATATGGGATGCCAGCACTGCAGGCGGCAGCTTTACCCACTGTGCCACAGCACCGGCCCCAAGAGGGAGGACTCTTAAAATAACTCTTTTGAGGGACAGAAGCCCGAGAGGATGCACACTATAGGATTCCTTTTGCATAAACGTTTAGAAAACACAAACCAGTTCTTGGAACAGAAAGCAGAGCAGTGGCTGCCTGGGAGTGGCTGGGGAGGGAGGGTGTTGGGAGGGATTGCGATGAGTCACTAGGAAATCGGGGAGTGATAGATATCTTCACCGTCTTGATTGTGGTGTTGGCTTTGCAGGCGTGTATACATATGTCAGGGCTCCCCAACTGTCCACTTTAACCACGTGCAGCGTGTTGTATGCCAATAAAGTTGCTTCAGAAAGAAAACATGGTGCCTGGCCCACAGCCCACTCTCTTGAGGAACTTCCAGGTGAAGCTGTGTGGGGCCATTGCCCCCAGCCTGGCCCTTCTGTTGTGGTGTGAGGTGCTGGTAAGACCAAGGTCATTACTCCATTCTCATGGACTGTTCGTTCCGTACGTCTCCCATCTCTGCTGCTCGACCCTTTGACCAGTCCATGGTAAGCAGGTCCCATTGGTCCAGTGGAGGCTGAGGAAGTGAGCCCATTGGGATGCCTCTTTTGGGGAATTCTCCTATTAAAAAAGCTTACAGTTTAGTATTTATTTACTTGAGCAATGGAGCGGTGGTATACAGACAGACGGAGAGACAGAGAGCCACAGGGCTGGGCCAGGCTGCGGCTGGGAGCCAGGGACTCAATCCAGGTCTCCCATGTGGGTGGAGGGGACCAAAGCACTTGGGCCTCCCAGGGTGCACATGCTGGAATTCGGAGCAGAACGGGGACTCAACGCCGGCACTAAGATATGGGGTGTGGGCACCTTCACCTCCAGGCCAAACACCTGCCCCACGCCCTTCCCCGGGCTGCTGCTGATGGTGCACTCGCAGGCCGTGGGCCAGCAGCCTGCTGACCTCGCTGGATGACCTGCTTCCGTCCTCTTCACCACACGCTGCAACCACTGCCTTGACGCTCACCCTCTGGTGAGTGTGTGCCCACCTTTACCAGACTGTACCCCAACACACTTCCTTTTTGCACTGGCTGTTGGGAAGTTTACAGTCAAGGTTGGTGTCCATTAGTTCATCCCAGGCGCCTATCACAAAGTAGTTTCCTGCCTGCCCCCCTTTGAGGTTTTGTTCTGCTTCGTAACTGAGCCTTTCCTATCCTTGTTTTATGGTATGTTCCGTATATGAAGTCATCTCAGATTTCTCCCCACCCACAAATATGTAGATTTTAAATCATTATGATAATAATTTAAAAAGTCCCCTTCATACCTTCCATGAGGTCAGAGAGTACGTCCTGCCATCCCGTGTGTCCGGGAAAGGACGCTGCGGGGAACAAATGCTCGTTAAAAATATGTTGAATGGGGTGGGCATTGTGGTGCAGCGGTGAAGCCACCGCTTGAGACACCCACGTCCCCTACTGGGGTGTCTGTGTCCCACCTCCACTTCTGATTTCGTTTCCTGCTAATTCCCCAGGATGAAGCTGATGATGGCTCAAGTACTTGGGGCCCTGCCACCCAAGAGGGAGAACAGGATGGAGTTCCTGGTTCCTGGCTCTGGCCTGGCCCAGCTCTGGCTCTTGCAGACATTTGGGGAGTGAACCAGCAGGTGGATGATCTCTCTCTTTCTCTCTCTCTGTTACTCTGTCTTTCAAATAAATAAATAAACTTTTAAAAACCTTCAAGCCAAATAAACTTACATATATGTGCGTCTAAATATATGTATAGATAAGCATATGTCATATCAATATAATATATATTACATAAACTGTTAATTATGTTAGGGGCTCACCCAAGACAAAGTTCTCTGTTTTTTAAATTTTAAAAATTTATTTTATTTGTTTTTTAAAATGTTTATTTATTTATTTGAAAGTCTGAGCTACACAGAGAGTGGAGAGGGAGAGGGGGGTTCTCCATCCACTGGCTCACTCCCCAGTTAGCGGCAATGGCCAGAGCTGTGCCAATCCCAAAGCCAGGAGCCAGGAGCTTCCTCCAGGTCTCCCACACGGGTGCAGGGGCCCAAGGACTTGGCCATCCTCCGCTGCTTTCCCAGGCCATAGCAGAGAGTTGGATCGGGAGTGGAGCAGCTGGGACTCAAACTGGCGCCTATTGGGATGCCAGCACTGTAGGCAGTGGCTTTATCCGCTACGCCATAGCGTCGGCGCCCAATTTTTGTTTATTTGAAAGGCAGAGAGACAGAGATAGACAAGAACAGACAAGCAGGCAAAGAATTTCCACCCACATTCACTCCCCAAATGCCCACAACAGGCAGTATTGGACCAGACCAGAGCCAGGAGCAAGGAACTCGATGTGGGTCTCCCGTGCAGGTGGCAGGGACCCAACTCCCGAGCCATCACTGCTGCTGCCCAGGGTGTGCTTTAGCAGGAAGCTGGAATCGGAAACAGAGCCGGGACTCCCACCAGGCACTGCAGTATGGGATGCAGGTGTCTCAGGTGGGTGACATCTGTGCTGCTGTGTCAAATGCCTGCTCCTCCCAAAGAGAAAGCTCTCAGAGGAAACCAAGTGGCAGGCAACCTGATGCTTTACTGGGGTCTGTTCTATTTCCTGTTGCCCTCGGCACCTGCCTGGTAGTGTTGGTGTGGGTGCTCGGATGCCTGCCCTCCAATCTGCCCCGTCCCTGACCCTCGCAGATGGACGCCCAAGCGCATTTACCCAGTAACCTTGCTGCTCCTCAGGGGGAAGTGTGGATTTAGGTCTGAGTTGATAAGCCGAGGGGGCCACGTCCTTAGCAGCCCTGGCTGCCCTCGGTCAGCTCTCCCGCCGCCTCGAAGTGTTATCTGCTCACTTTCTCCAAGTCACAAGTTCGTCTTGAACTTGTGACTCAGTGTGGACAACCAGCCCCAGCTGGGGGCGGTTCCCTAGGGACGTCTGGCTGCGGCTGGGCTCACCCATCTGTCATCCTCCTGACACAGCCCACGTGACGTTCGTGTCAAACGCCCCCAACAGGACCGTGTTCAGCATGGCTAATGAAGGGTTTCAGCCTTTGGCCGAAAAATGTCAAGCTTATTTAAAAGCAAACTGTCACATTTAAGAGTGATGGTCTTTTAATGAGCTCCCAAGGAACCCATAAAAGGATCCAGAGAATAAAACAGGAAGGCCCAAAATAGTCAAAACCCATAAACAAGGGGCTCTCACCTACTCGCAGTGGGGGACAGTCCACCAGCTTCCAATTTCCTGGTCTCTGTCTTGATCTTTTCCCTGCTGTGATCCAAGGATACAAGAATTTTGATTGAAATTCGAGGCAAACACCCAAGCAGGTTAGCTCACGCTCTTGCTCAGCCCCAGGAGGCTGTCCTGGCTCCCATCCCCCCAGATGCTGGAGTTTAAGGTTTTTGTTTGGCATTGAGGGCCCGCGGGATCTCTTCTCCAGGCACCTGCTCCTGTTCTCTGTCTGACTCCAGCTATCCTGGCCAGCTCTCGGCAGCTTTGCATATCTGCTCATCTTTTCTCTCTGTGTGAAGTCTTCCCTGCTCCCATCAGGGGCTGCCACTCCATGCTCCGTTCTGATTACAGAATTCTAATTCCTTCCCTGGGGGAGAGTACACAAGGCTGTCTCCTGCACCGCTGCTGGCGGCATGGCACGCTGGTTTCCCTAACGCCACGGAGCTTGGGACAGCGTGTCGCTCTGCTCATGTTCCCCTCCCACCAGAGCCCAAGCGGCAGAGGGAAGACCCTGGCTGAATAAGGTTCTATTTCTTAGTGCCCAGCACGGAGCCTTGGATGTAGGAGACCCTCTGGAATCATTGGTTGTGGAGTGACTGGTGTTTTCTTCTTTTGAATTTTTTTTTATTGATTCAAAATATGCTGTACATTCACACTCAAAAGGTACAAACAGTCACCCTCTCTGTTCTCTATTTAGTCTCCTTCTGTGTACATACCCACTGTTAATCAGCCCTTTGAGAACTCTTCCAGAGACACACAAACATCTATATTCATCTTTCTCTTTTCAAAAGGGGAGGTGTAGGTGTTGTGGCAAAGCAGGTTCAGCTGCCACTTCGGATCTGCAAAATGGCTGCTCTGCTTCTCATCCCAGCTTCCTGCTAATGTGCCTGGGAGGCAGAGGAGGGAAAGCCAAGATGATGATGATTCAAGTCCTTGGGCCCCTGCTACCCGTGTGGGAGACCTGGATGGAGTTCCTGGTTCCTGGCTTTGGCCTGTCCTAGCCCTGGTTGTTGCTGGCATTTGGGAGTGAACCAGCAGATAGAAGATCTCTCTCAATCTCTCTCTCTCTCTCTCTCTGCCTTTCAAATAAATAATGTTAAAAAAATGGAATCATGCTGTTTTGTAGTTTTTTCACTTTATTATGCACACATGCATTCGAGAAATTTAATTGACTATTGACCACACCCAGGTTTTCATTCTGTTATTAAAAACACTGCTGCAAGGAATACAGTTGTATGATGACCTTTGTCCACGTGTGCATTTACAAAGGAGGAGTTTCTACAAGTGGAATTGTTAGGTCAACAGGCACTTCTAATCCTGATCAACACCATCCACTTTTACCCACCAGCAATATACACATGTAGGAATTGCTTTTCCTACACTCTGTTCCCAATGCGTTTCAGACTTCTTGACATGTTCCACTAAAAATTTAAAGTTAGATTTTAACTTTAACAAATTCATGACTATCCCTTGGGTTGAAAATCCATCAAAGATATCCCAGGGTGTGGACAATCTAAGGTGTCTAGCCTCATGTTCATAGAAAATACATTTCTAGAAGATTCTTGCACTTTATTTTATTTTTTTATTTTTTTGACAGGCAGAGTGGACAGTGAGAGAGAGAGACAGAGAGAAAGGTCTTCCTTTTGCCGTTGGTTCACCCTCCAATGGCCGCCGTGGCCGGTGCGCTGCGGCCGGCGCACCGCGCTGATCTGATGGCAGGAGCCAAGAGCCAGGTGCTTTTCCTGGTCTCCCATGGGGTGCAGGGCCCAAGCACCTGGGCCATCCTCCACTGCACTCCCTGGCCACAGCAGAGGGCTGGCCTGGAAGAGGGGCAACCGGGACAGAATCTGGCGCCCCAACCGGGACTAGAACCCGGTGTGCCGGCGCCGCAAGGCGGAGGATTAGCCTAGTGAGCCGCGGCGCCGGCCGATTCTTGCACTTTTAAAAATTATTTTTTGAAAGTAAGAGAGGGGAGAGATGAAGTGAGAGATACGGAAAGAAGCAGAGATCTTCCATCTGCTGGTTCACTCCCTGTTGCTGCAATGGCCAGCGCTGGGCCAGGGCGAAGCCAGGAGCCTGGAACTTCATCCAGGTGTTGGGGCCCCAAGCAGCTGGGCCATTCTCCACTGACTTCCCAGGCGCATTAGCAGGAAGCTGAGACTTGAACTGGTGCTCTGGAATGGGGTGCCAGGGCTGCAAGTGGCAGGTTAGCTCATTACACCGCAACACCGGCCCAAGAAAAAGATTTCTATTTGATTCTAAGCATCTTAAAGGAATAGACTAGAAAAATAATGGATAACCAGCTGCTTTTATTTAAAGATTTATTTGAGGGGCCGATGCTGTGGTGCAGTGGGTTAACGCCCTGGCCTGAGGCACCGGCACTGGTTCAAGACTCGGCCGCTCCACTTCCCATCCAGCTCTCTGCTGTGGCCTGGGAAAGCAGCAGAAGATGGCCCAAGTCCTTGGGCCCCTGCACCTATGTGGGAGACCTGGAGGAAGCTCCTGACTCCTGGTTTCTGATTGGCACAGCTCTGGCTGTTGCGGCCAATTGGGGAGTGAACCATCGGATGGAAGACCTCTCTCTGTCTCTCCTCTCTCTGTGTAACTCTTTCAAATAAATAAAGAAATCTTAAAAAAAAAAAGAGATTTATTTGAAAGGCAGAGTTAGAGAGAGACAAAGAGACAGATCTTCCATCCACTGGTTCATTTCCCAAATGGCCCAATGCATTGTCAGAGCTGGGACAGGCCTATCCCAGGAGCCAGGAACTTAATCTGGGTCTCCCATGTGGGTACAGGGGCCCACTCACTTGGGCCATCCTCTGCTGCTTTCCCAGACACATTAGCAGGGAGCTGGATCCCCAGTAGAGCAGCCAGGCCAGGAACCAGCCACCATATGGGATACTAGAGTTGCAGGCTGAGGCTGAACCCACGGAGCCACAAAGCTGGCCCCCGGCTGCTTTTTAAAAAGTTATTTTACTTTTGTGGAGCGATCTCGTTTCTAGCCACGTTTTTACACTGACAGGTTTATTCCGCATTTCCAAGAACTGAAAGCACGCTTTGCGATGACCCAGGGAACAGAGTTGCAGGGTTCTGCAGATCTGCTTGCTAGGGAGCAGGTGCACTGCAGGTCCCACAGCGCCTCCGAGAAGGACCACCTGGGTCCGAAGCCCGCGCCCGGGCCGGCCCCTGCATCTGCAGTCTGCACTATCGCAGGGCTGCGAGGAGTCAGTGGAGGCCTAAGGCACTTTCCGTTCCGTACCTGACACAGAATAGGCACTCAGTAGATGCAATGCCAGCTACTTAATAACCAGTACTTTTCATTCGGTGATGGCCGAGAAGGGGCTACTTCAGCGGCATCATGAGGGCTCTGGAGTCGGGTCACCCCTAACCCCAGGAGGAGGACTCGGAGCACAGCCCCCAACCTCTCTGGCCTTAGCTTTCCCATCTGTAAAGCGGACAAGATAAAGTCCAGGCCTCAAAGTCTGTCCTCAGGTTTAAACGCATCGACACTCCTAAGTGCTTAACACACACTTCTCTTTCCTCCCAATCCAAGGGTGGAGACAGCGCACGACCCAAGAACTCCAGGAAACCACAGGGCTGGGACGAGTCAGTTATGGCCAGGACGCCGCGGGTGGACAGGACAACGGTCACGGCGCCGTGTGCCATCGCTCAGCCGCGAAAAACCGGCTCTCCACACCCGCGGGCCTCAAGAGCCCGGCGGTTGCCCTAGCAACGCCACTTCCGGGCCACTTTGCCCCACTTCCGGTTCCGGCGTTTACGTCATCGCCGGGCGACGGGGCGGGAAGTTCCGGGAAGGGCCGTCCCGGGGGGTGGTGTCCCAGGTGGAGGGCGGGGGTCAGCCGGTCACTCCTGGGCGTCGCTCTGCCCCCGGGGCTTGGCGCCGCCATGGAGAGCGGGGGGAAGCCCTCGCTGGGCCAGTTCATCCTCCTGGGCACCAGCTCGGTCGTCACCGCCGTGCTGTACTCGGTGTACCGGCAGAAGGCCCAGGTCTCCCGAGAGCTCAAGGTCAGTGCGGGAGCCGGCCGGGCCTCAGCCAGGTGGTCTCCGCCCCAGGTCGCGGTGAGGGCTGAGTTGGCGTGGGCCGCCCCGCGGCCGCAGGCTGGGGAGGAGCGAGGGCCGACGTCGGGGCGGTGAGAAGCGCCGCCCGGCTGCGTTTCTCCCAGGTGCCTTCACTCTGGAAGCTCGGCTTCGTTGCCTGGTTTTTAACACGTTTGTGGGGCTCGTGCCGTGCGCGGGGCAGTGAGCAGCCTCTCGCGGGGACGCCCGGCAGCGGCGCCGGGCGGCAGTAAACACGCACGCCACGTGGTGAGACGGGCGTGGAGGGCCGGAGGAAGCGACGTCTGAGCCCCGTGCAGGAGGGGGCGGAGGAGCGGCTCAGACAGGGGCCTGCGCCTGCTGCTGCGGGCCCTGCGTTTTATGTTAGAGTTTTGTGAAAGGCAGAGTTACAGAGAGGAAGTGAGAGGAGGAGATCTTCCCTCCGCGGGTTCACTCCAGAGTGGCCGCAGTGGCCAGGGCTTGGGCCAGACAGGAGCCAGGAGCTCCCTGGGAGGGGCGCGGACACCTGGGTCATCTCCGCTGCTTTCCCAGGCGCACTGGCAGGGAGCCGGGTCCGAAGTGGAGCAGCCGGGACTCCAGCCGGCGCCCCTGTAGGGAGCAGCTGAACCCGCTGGGCCGCAACGCTGGCCTCCCACAATAATTTTTTAAGGTAGATAAAATGATAATTGCCCTTAAATAGCAAAGCAGGGAGTTGAGGTTCAGGAAAAAGGTACTACAGTTAGACAGCTTGGAACTTTAAACCTCGGTTGTTTGATTCCAAAAGTGAGATTTTTATTTTTTCCAGTTGGCCACATTGCTTTATTGGGAATATCTGATTCTTCTAGAGACGGGTCTCTTAGGTCGGAGACAGGGTTTTCTCTCTTTCTTCTCTTAGGGGTTCTAGCTCCGGGCTTGGAGTGCAAGAAGAGTCTTGGGCCTGTATTGGCTGGAGCGCCTCAGTGCCGCAGCTGGGGCTTGACTGACACTTCATTATCATGGGCTGGATTCTGTGAGGGCTTGGAAACAAACGTGTGGCATCCCTGCGGAGAAGGGAGTTTGGGATCTGAAATGAACCAATTTACCAGGCGCTCAATTCGCTGTGCAAATGGCCCCCTGGTGAGATTCCAGCTGCCCTGTTCACCTAATTAAATGATCTAGTCACGCCTGAAGTGCTCGGCTCTTTCTGCCTCCCAAACCAGTGTCTCCTAGCAGTGGCTGGCTGTAGGTGCTTCGAAGGGAGAACCCTGCAGGTCCCATCTTTGGGTGACCCTAAAAGCTTTGCCAATTAGTTCCTGGATGAGCACGAGGTGGCCCCTTCCTGGAGAAAGTTCGGCCCCGACACTTGGGGCTCTGTTTTCTTGATCACATTGGAAAGCTGCCGAAGTAGGGTTTGTGTCTCAGCTGTGTGCCAGCCCCTAGGATCCAAGGTCACATAACCTGCATACAAATCCCAGGAGCTCGTGTTTCCCCCTCTTTTTCCGTTTTCACAACAGACTGGAGACAAGTTGCTCTAGAGCCCCCCCCCCCCCCCAGCCTGGAAGCCATGCTCGCCCCTCCCCTTTTAAAATCCTCCTCAGCCGCCCTGTGATGGATGCGAGCCATGTGACTCTGGCTTCTGTTCCCTTCTCAGTAATTAGGGATGACAATGGCTACCCTGGCAGGTGGCGTGGACGTCAGATCCTGCCTGTGTCGGCAGTGCCTGGGCTGTGGTGTAGCCAGGTGCTTGTTTAAGCACTGATTTATAGTCAAATATGGACCAGGTGCCTGCTGTGTGTCTGGCCTGTTGTTGGCACTAATGGGACAGCAGTGAACAAGACAAAGAGGTTAACAGTCCAGTGGAGGAGCTAAGTAATACTAAGTAATTGTTGCTGCTGTGTAGGTGCTAATGAAGTTTTTGTTGACTTTTCTCCTGCCATTCGCCGTGTAGCCATAGCTTCTTAAAGTCAGTGACTTTTAATATGTGTCCAGTAACTCTAACCTCTATAGAGGGCACTTACCTGCCTTCTCGAGACTTATTGAGGACAGGAATGTAGCATAGCAGTTGATGCCACTTGGGGTGCCTGCATCTCATACTTGAGTGCCTGGGGTGTTGTTTGTTTTATTTTAGTTTACTTGTAAAGGCTGAGAGAGAGAGAGATGGAGAGATGTCTTGCATCAGCTGGTTCCCTCCCCAGATGTCTGCAACGGCCAAGACTAGACCAGGCCCAAATCAGGAGCCTGGTGCTGGATCTCCATCTGTGTCTCCCCTGTGGGTGGCAGGGCCCAAGCCCTTGAGCCGTCATCTGCTGCCTCCCAGCATGCATTAGCAGGCGTGTTGGATTGGAAGTGGAGTAGCCTTAACCTGAACCGGTGCTGTGGTGTGGGGTGCGGGCATCCTTAGCGGGGTCTTAACCTGCCGAGCCACAGCAGCTGCCCTGGTTTAGGTGATTTTACCTAAGCTGTTGTGCCATAGCTCTTTGTTGTCAAGAAGAGACTGAGTGGTGACCAGTGCGCAGTATGCAGACTGACGGTGCCTTTTATGTTTTGAGTGTATGTTTTAGTTACTGGGTGGCACAACGTTCCCCATGGTGGGGTGTGCAGGAAGGAGGCTGCCTGTGCCTGTGTGTGTGACAGCTCTCTGCAGGGCTTTGAAATTACATTCTCCACCTATGCCCAGTTTCCTCATTCTCTCAACATGGAAACAGTAGCAAAAAATGCCCCAAGTACTTGAGCCCCTGCCAGCCACGTGGGAGACCTGAATGGAATTACAGGCATCTGGCTTTGGCCTGGTCTGTTGTGACCATCTGGGGAGTGAACCAATAATGGAAGATATCTTTCTGTCTCTCCCTCCGGCTCTGTCACTCTGCCTGTCAAATAAAATTAATCTTTTTTTTAAAAAAGTTTTTTTTTTGCCTTTCAGTTGATTGAACGTGTCAGGATGTATTGGTTAATATGTTCTTTCTGCATTTAGGGAGCTAAAAAAATCCACCTGGGTGAAGATTTAAAGAGTATTCTTTCAGAAGCGCCAGGAAAATGTGTGCCTTATGCAGTTATTGAAGGTATGTTTGTTTATTGATAAATGGAAAACAGCTTCCTTCTTCCTAGAGATTGATAAAGATCGCCTTTTTTGTTGTTGGAGCCCTGGTCTGGGACGTGATGTGGGAGTCAGAAAAAAGTGGGTAATTGTTGTGTGCTCTTGGGGAGATTACCAGACCTCTCTGGATGTCTGTTGCCTCATGTGTAGGATGAGACTTGCCTCAGGGGATTGTTGAAGACTTGAGGGTTGTGATCCTGTAAAGTAGTTAGCAGGTGCTCCTAAAATTCACTTATGGTGATAAAAGTGTCAACATTTTGATTAGATAACAACTCAAACTGAAAACGTACTCTTGGTTACCTTAAAGGAAAAGGCGCAACAATAGGAGTAGGCTTTTGGCCTGGTGTAAGCTGCTAGTGGGGAAACCCACATCCCTTGGAGTGCCTGGGTTAGACACCCAGCCCTGGCTCCTGACTCTGGCTGCCAGTTAGTGTGGCTCCTGGAAGGCAATGGTAATGGCTGGGTTGGGTTCCTGCCACCCGCATGGGAGACCTGGATTGAGTTTCCGACTCCTGGCTTTGGCCCATACAGCCTGATGCAGGCATTTGGGGAGTGAACCAGAGGATGGAAGCGCTTGTGCTTTTTTCTCTTTCTCCCTCCCTCCCTCCCTCTCTTTCTGTCTTCCAGTTTTATTATAAAGGGTGGGCATTTGGCATGACAGGTTGCCACATCCCGTATTGGAGTGCCTGGTTGAGTTCCAGCTACTTTGCTTCCAGTCCGGTTTCCTGCTGATGTGCACCCTGGGTATCAGCAGATGATGGCTCAAGTACTTGGGTCCCTGCTACCCACAAGGGAGACCTGGGATTGAGTTCCTGACTCTGGCCTGAACCAGTCTTGGCTGTTATGGCTATTTGGGGAGTGAACCAATGGATGGGATATTTCTATATCTCTGCCTTTCAAATAAAATAAAATAAATTTAGGGGCCAATGATGTGGCTCAGTGGGTTAAAGCCTGGCCTACAGAGCCAAATCCCATATGGGCTCCGGTTCAAGTTCTAGCTGCTCCACTTCCAATCCTGCTCCTTGCTAATGCACCTGGGAGAGCAGTGGAGGCCGGCCCAAGTCACTGGGCCTCTGCACCTGTGTGAGACCCAGAGTAGTAAGTTCCTGGCTCCTGGCTTTGGCTTGGCCCAGCCCCGGTTGTTTTGGCCATTTGGGGAGTGAACTAGTGGATGGAATATCTCTTTGTCTCTTTCTCCTTCTCTCTCTCTAACTCTGCCTCTCAAATAAATAAATAAACCCTAAACAGAAGATTTCTGATCACTCTTAAAAAAGAAATTTAACAAATTTTAAAGGAAAGAAAATAATCTGTTTCCACCTAGGAGCTGTGCGGTCTGTTAAAGAAACACTGAACAGCCAGTTTGTGGAAAACTGCAAGGGGGTGATTCAGCGGCTGACGCTGCAGGAGCACAAGATGGTGTGGAATCGAACTACGCACCTGTGGTAGGTGTCCTTGCTCCCCGTCAGCAGCTTGACAGCTGGTCTGTCCCAGGACTGGGCCGACCCAGCTTCTCTTGAGACACGTTGAAGACCAGTCTCTGTGTTGGTGACGCTCTCGTGTGGGTCTGTGGCCCTCTCGCCTTGGGATCACCTGGGCAGCCTGTTGGCTGGTTAGCGCCCAGGCTCCATTCCAGACTGCCAGGGTTTCTAGGACCGGGGCCCAGATCTGCTGGTTCCTGGTGCACACTAAAGCCAGAGTACCACTGGCTTCTGGGTTAATGAGTTCAGTGCTTGATCAAGTCATTGTGAGCCATTCATGGAGTGCCGTTTCTCCGGCTGGCCCTAGAGGGTTTGGTTTCGATGTCTTCTCCAGTAGCCAAGGGAAATGAATGGTGCAGGCCACCTGCACTGATCTTGCCTGAGGTTCTAGGATGGCGCCTCACCAGTGGCTGGGTGCCTGCCACCCACGTGGGAGAGCTGGATTGAGTTCTCAGCTCCTGGCTTCAGCCCCAGCCCAGCCCCGGCCGTTGAGGGCATGTGGGGGGTAAACCAGCAGATGGGGGTGCTCTCTCTCTCAAATAAATTCCTGTAAGAAATGGAGGCTCCCTATCGATGTTCCTTTGTGCTCTTCCCATTGCTGGGCACGTTATCCTGTCCTCCCGGCATTCAGGTCCTCGCCTTCCCCCCTGGGTGTCCAGCGCTTGCTTGCCGTGGTTTGATCATCAGATCTCTTCCTCGTGTAGGAATGACTGTTCCAAGATCATCCACCAGAGGACCAACACGGTGCCCTTTGACCTGGCGCCCCACGAAGACGGCGTGGGCGTGGCTGTGCGCGTGCTGAAGCCCCTGGACGCGGTGGATCTGGGCCTGGAGACGGTGTACGAGAAGTTCCACCCCTCGGTGCAGTCCTTCACCGATGTCATCGGCCACTACATCAGCGGCGAGCGACCCAAAGGCATCCAGGAGACGGAGGAGATGCTGAAGGTGGGGGCCACGCTCACGGGCGTCGGCGAGCTGGTCCTGGACAACAGCACCGTCCGCCTGCAGCCCCCCAAGCAGGGCATGCAGTACTACCTCAGCAGCCAGGACTTCGACAGCCTGCTGCAGAGGCAGGAGTCGAGCGTGCGACTCTGGAGGGTCCTGGCGCTGGTTTTCGGCTTCGCCACGTGCGCCACGCTTTTCTTCATCCTGAGGAGGCAGTACCTGCAGCGGCAGGAGCGCCTGCGCCTGCAGCAGATGCAGGAGGAGTTCCGCGAGCACGAGGCCCAGCTGCTGAGCCAGGCCCGGCCCGAGGACAGGGAGAGCCTGAAGAGCGCCTGTGTCGTGTGTCTGAGCAACTTCAAGTCCTGCGTCTTCCTGGAGTGCGGCCACGTGTGCTCCTGCAGCGAGTGCTACCGCGCCCTGCCCGAGCCCAAGAGGTGCCCCATCTGCAGGAGGGAGGTCACCCGCGTGGTGCCCCTGTACAACAGCTAGGCGGGCAGCCCCTCCCCGCCCCGTGCGCTTGCAGGGGTGGGTCCTCGCGAGGCCTCCGGGAGGCCGGGGGAGCTCTTCCCTGCAGGAACTCCGCCAGCAGCGGGGTGCTGCCTTTCCCGCTCTGGTCACAAGGATGAGAGCCCCGGGCTGGGGGCTGGGGGCTGGGGCGCGGTCGCGTGAGGCCTCTTCCTGGAAACACGAGAGCACCAAAGCCAGTGACTTCAGTCCTGCTCCTCTGGCTGCTGCTGTCTGGCCGGTGTTGCTTGCTGCAGGCTTGGAGGACTGAGCACAGCGTGAGGGCAGGTGGGGCTCTGAGCGCAGGGACGCCTGGCGGAGCTGCCTCTGGAAGACGGGTTATGTCTCTCCCTTTGCCTCCACCCGAGATAGGCCGTCCTCTGGGAGACGGCTGGGGTCTCCGCCTCCGCCCGAGACAGGTGTCCTCTGGGAGACGGCTGGGGTCTCCCTTTGCCTCTGCCCGAGACAGGTGTCTTCTGGGAGACGGCTGGGGTCTCTGCCTCCGCCCGAGACAGGTGTCCTCTGGGAGATGGCTGGGGTCTCTCCCTTTGCCTCTGCCCGAGACAGGCTGGACAGCTGCAGAGTGTCCAGCCGCAGGAAGCACTTTGTCCTTTTTTCCCCGCTTGCCTCCCACACGTGGGCACCTGTGTGGAGAGGACAGAGGGAGTGAAGTCCGCAGACCTGCGTCTGCCTGGACCCTGAGCGGCAGGAGGAAGAGAGGTCTCGTCTCCACTGACCTGGGAGGCCGCCCCAGGGCCCTCTGCCAGCCAGATCCAGAACAGCTGGGGAGGGCAGAGCGTGCGCTGGCTTGCCCTGCCGAGGCTCAGTGGCAAGGCCCCACCGCTGCAGGAAGCAGGCGGGACGCGCGGCCCTAACTCCTGGCTTTCGCAGCTTTTTTTTTTTGCAAGGTTTTACAAGTTGCCAGCACCTGGAGCACCATGCTTTTCACTGCTGCCCCCTGCTCTGGGCCGTGGTAAAGTTAACATCCCCTGGGCGCAGCTGTCCCACCCCGCCGCCCCGCCCCCTCCCCCACACCTGCCCTTCGGAGCCCTGGAGTGCGAGGGAGTGGCGGCAGGTCCTTCCCCACTGCCCCGTGGGTACGAGCCGCACACGGCTGTTTTCTCTCTGCCTTTGCCTCCTGGTCCTCTGCGTGGGAGGAGGGGAGCTCTCAGGGGTGACAGTGCCCAGCGTGAACGGCACAGATTAAACACGTTGCAGCCAGGTGTTGGCCTCTTGCTTTGTTACCAAGAGTTCAGGGGCTAAACTGAGGCTTTCACAGGATGGAGGCGGATCCTGACCGTGAGGGACTGAAAACCGGGGACTTGGAGGCCACTTTGCCTTCGGCCCTGGCTGTGAGGTGGCTGGGGCTCCCCAGGTGCTGTGCGGTCCGGCAAGGCTGAGGCTGGGGTACTGGCCGCCGTGGGAGGAACGTGGGGAGCCCCAGAGTGTGCCGGCGGGCCGCACCTGGCGTTGCTCCAGAGTGGTCTTTGAAGCCTGCCTCAGGCCTGAGCACCAGGGCCGCCTGCTGAGTCTTGAGGGACACGGGGAGGAAGGAAGCAGTCTGGGTTCTGTGCCCCGGGAATTGTTCTGTGTGCTTTCCCAGAGGGCCACCCTCACAGAAGCCCTGCAGGCCGAGCCCAGGGTCTCGTGGTGCGGATGAGCAAGTTGGCCCCTAGAGGGCAGGGTCACAGGGCTCAGGAGTAGAGCTCCCAGGTGCTGGATCTAAATTCAAACTCCAGGCTGTTTCCTGCTTGCCGGCTGAGAGACCAGTGACGTCCCCCAGCGCTGACCACTACCTGCAGGAGGAGTAGGGTTGGGGGCCACACAGGCGAGAGCAGGGAGGGTGGACAGCCAGTGCTGTCTCGTCCAGTGAGGGGTGCAGAGCCCACCTTTCCATAAGATGCCGAGATGAGCCGGATGAGGGGTGATGGCAGTGACCTGGACACCTGGGAAGCGTGGGGCCCCCTTCCTGTCCTTTACAGAGGGCTGGGGAGGGCCTCCAGGTTTTAGTGGAGGGTGAATGGACTGCCCCCGGAGGCAGGAATGTGATCCGAGAGATGGGAGAAGGGCTGCACCCTGTGTTCCCAGCAGAGCTCAGCCCCTGCCGTGGGAGCCCCGGGAGCGGCAGCCGGGTCTGGTCAAGGTCCCTGCTCAGTCCTTGCCCATGCGGGACAGCGAGGCCACCTCTGTGGTCCCCGACTTCCAGCTCAGGAGCCCCAACCCCAGAGGGCTGGACGGAGCCCGAGCTAGCTGTGGGCCGAGGCTGGCCCGGGGGGCCGGGGTAGAAAGAGTTCTGCCCGTGGGGAGGTTGCGGGTTGTGAGTCCTGCCGAGGTCAGGGCAGCTTATTTTGGTGCAAAAAGTTTTAGAGCTTTTAATGCATATGAGAGGTCTTCAAACCGTTGAAAAATGGATGGTATTAAAAAAGTGCATGGATTTCAAAACTTGTTGCACCAAAACCAGTGAACTGCTGAGTTCTGTTTCCATGAACCTTTCGAAGTGCGCTTGTGTGCGTCGCTCCCACTTCCACGTGGCGGTGTTGTCACCCCCGTCTGATGAGAGAACAGAGGCTCAGCTCCGCCTGCAGCCCATCACCACAAGCCAGGCAGCACTGGGCAGCAGGGGCGCGTGGCCCTTTCATGGGTTACATCACTTGCTCGAGGCTGTGGCCATAGACCTTTGACCACGTGAAGCCTGGGAGGCAGGAGAAAGGGAAGTTGCACAGGTGACGAGTGTTGTGGGCACACACGCACCATGTCGCGGGTCAGTCACACCCCAGGACCACACCTCCAGCTGACCTGGTGGAGTAGAAGCCGGAAGGAGGCTTCAGAATACATACTCGCTTGGAATTACTTACTTTTATCTGCAAGGCAGAGAGAGTGTCCATCCAGTGGTTCACTCCCCAGTGCCTGCAAGCCTCCTGAAGCTGGAAGCCCAAGACTCAAATCCCGGTCCCCACGTGGGTGTGCACTGCAGTGAGCTGGACTGGGAGTGGAGGAGCCAGGGCTCAAGCCAGGCCCTGCAGTATGGGGCGGGGGGTGCCACAGGGCATCTCAGCTGCTGCGCCGCGTGTCTGCCCCTCGTTGAGAATTCTAAGGGGAAATTTAAAAAGCAATGCATGGAAAAGTCAAAATGCAAATGGTGGCGAGCAAGGCGAGTCTCCGCTGCCCTCACTTCGAGCCCTGAGCCCGGGTGGTGGAGACGTGAGTGGGGTGGCTGCCGCTCTGTGGGCCCCTGCACTGCTCTGAGGGACAGCCTGTCAAGTTTGGCTTTGTCGGTGCACATTTATGCTTTTTAAAATTTTATTTAGTTATTTATCTGAAAGGCAGAGAGAGAGAGGTCTTCCATCTGCTGGTTCACTCCCCAAATGGCCGCAATGGCTGGAGTGGGGTCAATCTTGAGCCAGGAACCAGGAGCTTCTTCTAGGTCTCCCACGTGGGTGCAGGGGCCCAGGGACTTGGGCCATCTTCTACTGCTTTCCCAGACCATAGCAGAGAGCTGGATGGGAAGTAGAGCAGCCGAGACTAGAACTGGTGCCCATATGGGATGCCGGCACTGCAGGCGGCAGCTTTACCCACTATTCCACAGTGCTGGCCCCACGTTGACACTTATAACAGACATCGGCTGAGTGCCTGGAGGTGGACAATGGATACAACACAGCCCCTGTCCTCCGTGAGCCCAGCTGCATCCCAGTGTAGCCTGGCGAGGGTGTGTGTGTGTGTGTGTGTGTGTGTGTGTGTGTGTACGTACAGTTTGTGAGCGATGCACCTCAGCGCCGGGAGGACTTGTGGCTCTCAGGATGCCGGAGCTGAGCCAGGCCCTTGAAGGCGGCCTGACTGGAGCAGATTCTCCAGTCCTTAGGGCAACTGAGGAGGGCAGAGCAAATGTGCCCCACAGAGTTGGGTGATCGCCTGAGCCACCAGCCTGGCTGGGCCCCCCTTCTGGCTAAAGCCCCTGCCCAGGCTCCCTGCCATCTGTGGATCGACCCTGGCTCTCCCACAACACGTGAAACTCTGCGTGACCCCTGCCCCCGGCCACCTTTCCAGGCTGGTTCATCCCTGGGTAAAACATTGCTCATCTATTTTCATCTTAGTTGAAAGGCAGAGAGACAAAGATCTTCCATCTGCTGGTTCACTCCCCACATGCCCACAACATCGGGCTGGGCCAGGCAGGGGCCAGGCGCTCAGAACTCAGGTGGGTGGGAGGGGCCCAGACACCTGCACCATCACCGACTGCCTGCCAGGTGCACTTTAGCAGGAAGTGCGCTGCACCCAGGCGGGGTCCTCACCTGTGCCAGGGCCTCACACCTGTGACTCCAGCAGCGCTGAGTACACGTCCCACGCCGCCCTCCGTCTTGGAATCCTGGTCCTTTCTTCTTGCCGACGTCACCTTGCTCTCCCTTTGACGCTCGGGGTTCAGTGCCTCTTCCGAGAACGCTCCCCGGCCCCGCCCCACCCGCAGGCTGATTGGTGCCCTTCTTGTGGCCCTCTTCCTGCTCTTGGCAGCCTGGTCCACGCCTTGGGCAGGGATCACGTCCTCGGGCCCAGGTTTTAGGTTGTCAGTACACAGTAATTAGGGCTGACGTCAGGGCTGGCTCTCCCCCAGGGAGCCTCCACGGTGCTGTACACAGTGATCTCATCCGGTCCTCACCTGCGAGGTGTGTGTGTTAGCCACAGGCCCAGAGAGGTCAAGGGTCTCGCCCGAGGTTACAAGGATGATAGGACTTAGACCCCAGTGGTCTGAATCCAGAGCCCAAGCTCTTAACCACTGAGTGTACATGGAAGGAAGGAATTAACCCGTGAATGAAAGAGCAGGTATAGGAGAGGCAGTCCTGGAAGGCTGCCCGGATGAGTCGGCTTTTGGGCCACAGGTGAGAGCGGTGACTTGGTTGTAAGGAGCGAGGCTGGATTCCTCTTTCAGGGCCTGAGAACAGGCTGGATGGACGGTGCGGGAGAGATAGCACGCCATCCAGGAAAGTCCCAGCAGTCACCGATGATGCTAAGGGATCTGGACCCAGCCCCAAAGGCTGACTTCCTGTCTGGTTCTGCCCCATTGCCGTGTGATTGTGGTCAAGTGACTTCACCTTCCTGGGCTTCAGCTCTGTCCGTGAAAGGTGGGATTTGGGCCGGAAGCTCTGCACCATCCTGTTCAGCTCTGACATTCTGCGTGCCGGTGGGTGGGGAGAGGAGGACCAGGGCACGCAGTTTTGAGGCCCCCTTCTGAGGCTGCGGGTCTGAGAGAGGAGCCACGGCTCTGTTTCAGGCTCGCTGTGTGCCGCAGCCTTGGGACCGCAGTCTCTGAAAGCCGGGGCTCAGCACTTCTCTCGTCAGGCACTGTTGCCTTGCCGCTGCTGGATGAGATAAGCGTCCACGTCCGATGTCCCGAATTGCTCCCCGCAGTGCTCATCACTCACTTCCCCTGCAGCTGCCTTATTGTCTCCCAGATGCCAGCCGAGGGACTTGGCATTTCTCTTTTCCGAGACCAGGACACGTGAGGCTGTGCCCGTGCCACTGGCCCTGGTTGGAGGGGCCGAGCAGGCCCAGGCTTGGACCCTCAGCCCCTGCCAGAGCCATTGCATCCTGTTAGGGGCCTCAGATCCATATCCCTCCACTGTTGGGCTGTGACTGGTAGGCCATTGCTGAAACAAACATTCATTAAGCACCAAGTGTGCCAGACGCCTTGCACCTGTCACATACTCCCTAGGCGTGGTGTGTACAATGAGATCATCCTAAAGGTCAGGTCTAAATTACCCTGCCTATGCCCCATCCTCTCACCCAGAGCCTTCCTGGTTACCACCCTCTGGGACCGGGTTTCCGGCTTGCTGGCCAGCTGGTGACAAAGCCCTGATGGATCTTCCCAAGGACTTCACTGATGCTGCAGTTCTCACAATGGCCCCCAGGGGGCAGTGTGCTCCTGTAGAGAAACAGGTTGTGCTTTGCAATTTTCCCTGGCGGGGGTGGGGAGCCGGCCTTGGAAGACCGAGAACAGAGTTGGAGGAGGACGTGGGGCGGCTGATCCCACGGCCAGCTGCGTGCAGCCCCGGGAGGGGAGGAGCGGGAATTCTCCGGTTTCTTCCGTTCCATGCCCAGCTCAGCAGGGAGCTTGCTGCAGATGTGAAAGTTTTGAAAAACCCAAAAAATTCCAGGGCAGGGGCGAAAAAATCCCACATTTCTCCCCTTCTAATTTCCCAGGCATTCACATCTTTAAATATACTAACCATGAT